ATCCTTATTTATGATGTAACATTAAATTCGTTGTTGTGTAGAATTGGATATTATTTAAAACATACACAGAAAGAGACAAGAGATGGCGCTAATTCTGACGATTTATTGACACATGTGAAATGAGTCTTTCGCTAAAAAGTCTGAATAAAAGAAGTAGCCCTTATATTTCCATTGCTGCCACTTACGTCTATATTTTGATTTATTTTTTCAAACAGAAAATTAAAGATAAAGAATCTACATAACTGAAGAATAGTTAAACTGACCGAAAATGAGTAATTATATTAACTTATACTTGTTATCATTCCAAATTCAGACACTGGTGCGGTAAAGGGATGATATCCTAAACTTAAATGTCTTTAATACTAAACGGAGTAGTGGTTGTTAACAATTATATAATATTTCTAACTAAATGTTCTCAAATTTCAGACCAATTTGATTACATCATAAACAGCAGGGAAGAGAAATGGTAATCATTCAGATAATAACCGTGCAAATACCAAACGTCTGAAAGATAGCTGTTAGTTAAAACTGAAACTGTGATTCATATAAAATAAAAAATATACCTTTACCAGTGGAGTTACTAATGTCCTGTCTGACTCCATACTATATAAAACATCAAGTAAATAGTACAAATCGCCACGATACACAGTATTTTATTAGGTACTAATGTCCTGTCTGAATCCATACTATATAAAAACATCAAGTAAATAGTACAAATCGCCACAATACACAGTATTTTATTAGGTACTAATGTCCTGTCTGAATCCATACTATATGAAAACATCAAGTAAATAGTACAAATCGCCACGATACACAGTATTTTATTAGGTACTAATGTCCTGTCTGAATCCATACTATATGAAAACATCAAGTAAATAGTACAAATCGCCACGATACACAGTATTTTATTAGGCTGTTGACTGTTTGTTAAGCACAAAGCTGCAGAATGGGCTATCTGTGCTCTGCCTACCACGGGTATCGAAACCCAGTTTCTAGCTTTGTAATTCCGCAGACATACCGTTGTGCCACTGAAGAGCATTTCATTAGGTGTATTTTCATTTGAAAAACTGTACAGAATAAACATAACGCCAAATAAAATTAAGCAGCTGAGTCAATAAAGAGAAGATAATTGTATAATAATCACGAGTGTCAACTGTTCAATGATATCAGTTTGAAACACATATTTAAAGTATAAATAAAGATCATCATACTAATCAAGACACACTGTAGTGCGTCTTGTGGCCAAGAAAAAAAAACCTGCAGGACACACTGTGTGTTATTGATAGGAGTGATAGTTTAGCGATTTTACACCTTCTGTAACTCGGACTGTAGTAATCCAAACTAAAACATATTTTCAGTGTATGTGCTCTAATGAAAACTTAATTCACATACCGAATTTTAAGGCAATACATTAAGAAATGCACGAGATATAAAAGCTCAAATTGTGATTGAAAGTTTCCTTTTTTATATTTGCACCGAAAGTACAGAAACTTTATTGATAGAAAAATCATACTTAATGTTATGGATGTTTTTTAAATTTGGTACATTGATTGATCTTTACAACCTACAATTAGGAGTCTCATTTGGTGTAACTATAAGCTACATGTGCAAAGTTATTCATCAAAACCGCTCAAATTTAACGAAAATGTGTGTGCAAAAAAATGTCATGTGAGATCTCGGTCTAACATTTTTACTACAGCTTCACTTAAGAGTAAAAGTGGACCATTTTTACTTTTTGTCATTTGGATTAAAGACGGCTGATTTAGAGCAGCAAAACTATAAGGTAAAAGGACGTGCAGATTCATAAGTATTGGTTAGGCCGAGCAAACTATATTAGCACTTTCTAGGTAACGTTTTCAAAAGAATCATATGGATGGACGGTTATTATTGATTATTCATTGCCAACTTTTCAGTACAAATTTACTAAATTTCATGAAATTATCTTAATTAAACAGCGTTTAGCGTCATCTGATATTAGCTTAAACAGTTAGCATAAATAATGATGCTTGATACGGCCGTACCGATTGCATGGGGGTGATGACAAGAAAGTGTTAATATGGCGTTACTATAAAGGAAAGTATTAACACTGTTTTCGAGAGAAAAAACTGCCATAATATATTTTAAAGAATTTGGTTTGTTCTGTAAAGTAAAGGTCTGTTTCCAAATCTAATGTTGGTTACTATCGAGTGTCACATTCTTATTTGGTGTGGTTTGTTGGTGTGTATTGACAAAAATCCACGACATCTAATCAAAAACACCTTAGGTGTGAAAAAAAAAGGATTCAGCGTGCGACTTAATGGAATGAAATCAAAATTGGTGTCCAAATTGGTAGCTACACTTATGGCATTGATAAGAATTTTACAGAAAATATTAATTCTTTAATTAGCTGGGTTGCGTGTTATATTTTACCCACCATCATACCCAAAGTTGGACGAAAATTGTGGCCTGGCTAGCTAACGAATGAATATTTGCTGTAAAATTCTTATCAATGCTATAAGTGTAGCTACCAATTTGGCCGCCAATACACTGAATCCTTTTTTGGTCGCACATGTTTTTCACACCTAAGGTGTTTCTGATTAGATTAGTTGTAACATGAGAACAATTTTATATACCAACTTAACAGCTACACTTCAGTTATGAATGTAAATCAGAAACAAAAGACTATATATCCCTTTAAAAATGTTCCTCGGTGGGACAATGGTAAGTCTACAGACTTCCAACGTTAAAACTCGGGGTTCGATTCCCCGCAGTGGACATAGCAGATAGCCCAATGTGGTTTTTGTCTTAAACAGCCAACCAAATCTATCGAAAAATGTAAACCTAACGTCTGCTTGAGTTAATAGTCATTAATCCGCAACCTATGACAAGGTGGATTACGGTTTAAAATTCTATTTTATTACATATTTATCAGCTTCTTCAGAAAATTAAGATACTTTCACATATGTTGCAACAAGTATGTCATCAGTTTATGCCATTTTTGAATTTATAAAATACATATACATTTCACATTTGCCGCTGGCTCAGTAAATTCTGCCAATCTTATTTTTTAATTAGCTCCGGAAAAGCGGTTTTTGACATAGCGAAAGTTAAGCATTTTAACAATTCTTTTGCCAATACTTTGTTCAAAAACCTCCCAGTGAAACAACGGTATGTCTGCGGACTTAGAACGTTAGAAACTTGGTTTCGATACCCGTTGTTGGCAGAGCACAGATTGCTCATTGTGTAGCTTTGCGCTTATACAACAAACAAACTTTGTTCAAATTTTGAGAATTACTTAGTTTCGTCTTGTTTCCGTTTAACTCCAAATAAATGTAATATATATAAAAGCAAGTATCAAGACTTCAGGAAAAAACAAAGTAACGAGCTTATATATCGTTATTATTATATTCAAACTACTAATGGAGACATATAGTCAAATTTAATACAATTTCTTCTTTACTACACAGTCTAAAAGGTAATTGCATCATATGTAGCATATGAAAAATAATGTATTGCTTTAAACAAAAAATAGAGAAGAAAATAAAGGCCAAGTCCAGTGTAATTGGAGATGATTTGACGATTTGGAAGTCCATAGGTTGTTTGCTCATACTTTAACGTTACGTTTATTCTGCATTTGGAATTTTCAATCATAGGTAGCGTGTGTTGTATTGCAGAGACAGCTGGTATGGGTATTAAAAACGTTAATTAGAATGAAGTACAAAAATAACGTTTCGACTTTCTTCGGCCATCTTCAGTTAACAAAGACAGTTAGAAAGTGACCGTTTTTACTTCAGTTGGGTTTCTCGTCATCATACAGTAGCGTACGAGTTTTTACTGCTCTTTCCGAAGTGTGAGGTTAGAAAAATATTTTATCTTGGAGGATGGGAATTACATAAATATTTCGAGTGCATGAAAATGTTAGGACTCCTTCCAACCAAACTCTGCATATTCCAAGTATCTTCTCATCTTTTTCGTTTTTGTTTCAGTTATTGTTTCTTCATTACGTCATTCGTCTGTATATCATAGTTATTTAGTTTTAGATAACACAAGTTTCAGAATTAAACCCAGCCTAATTTACTTGCCTAAATTAACTCTAATTTAATTCATTGCGTTAGGTTACTCTTAGAATTTATAATTGAATTCAAGTCAGCAGTCGGTAGTAAGTTGAATGTTAATATTTATATAACGTTTGTTTATCGCGTAGAAAGTTTAATGTTTTTTTTTTTCAGATATTTCTCTCTGTTATAAATATGAACTTAATTTCATCAATATTATATTTTACTTCGGGGTTTGGATTGTCACATGAAAATATTATATTTTACTTCGGGGTTTAGATTGTTACATTAAAATATTATATTGCATACTTTGTTAACAACTTAATATGGCCAAAAGAACGATGATATTGTATCTTTATAGCAAAGAAAATCGAGAAACATGTAGAATTTTTATAAAATGGAATAAAAATGTTGATACTTTTATTGTTCAAATTTCTAAAGAGCTTTTTGGAAGTTCGTTTTGAAATGGGAATGTTTGATAAATGCCGTTATGCCAGTAAAGAGGTTCTTTTTAACATAAGACAACGTGATACTTAAAAAAAAAAATCACATACAAATAATTTGTTGATACATTCGTTACTTACTTGAAACATTCCACACTGAGTGCAATAAACATAGTATTTAGACGTTTCATTTTGATTTAACTGTTTTTGAATATATACACTCACAATGGATAGGTTAAGTTTTTATTATATATAAGACAGTTTTAAACATGACTCTTGGGGGTATAACGTGAACATGTTGACATGCTGGCTTCTGGTCGATTGTTCAAAGATTGGTCGAGCCGTCTTTCTCCTTTCATATCTGTGTCTTCACCCGTAGGAAAATGGATCTTTCCCCCAAATCGTGCTGGTCGGGTTCAGCGCTCATTCAGTCGACAGTTCCCGCCTGGGGTCGGCGTGGAGAGTACATCGAGTTTTATTCGAAGTCTTTTTCATCTTAAAATTAAATTTTACTTCGTTTTTCGTAGGTATTTTGTGCCTTATAATCATAAAAAGTACTTTAAAAAACAAAATACGTTGTTTTCAACCACGTGTCAATGTTAATGTACTGTGTCGTCTGCTAAGCGTACTACAGCTAGTCATTGTCTGAGAACTTCACAGTGCGCAGAGTTTCGCTGTCCTCCGCACGTTCGAAACATACGTACAGGAATCTTACACTTCCGATATACAGTAAGTATAATGTTTTAATAAACTTGTATTATATCATGGGAGATCACACGCATCTAATCATAGACTTCACAACAATTCAATTAAAAATATTATTTGGTCAATAACTAACTATTGTTGAAATTTAACGAAACAAAATTTCCTAATTAATGAGTCCAAGATAAAGCTTTACCATTTACCTCAATATGCATGTATTTTGTTGCATGTTAATGTTATTTGTTAAATCACTCGTTGTTGCATGTTGAAATATATATATATATATATATGTATATTTTATATGAAGCATCTATAAAATTTCTAAGTGATATTTGATAAGTCTCGTTTTTGTGCTAGGTGTCAAATTTAATTTAGCTCGTTCAGTATATTTTAGAACTAAATTAACTCTGCAAGAGTCTGCCTTATCTAATCAATGCAGAAATAAGAAAATAAATCATTAAACCTGTTATTAAATTCTCTTCGTGTAGGTGAGTGTTGTGAACCCTCCTACGTGATGGATTATATGAGTTTTCGAATGCATCTGTCCTTTTTTGAGCTTACAAATTTACAATCTTTCAAATTAGACAGAGAGTGGGAAGTAAGTGTTGTACAAGAAATGCTCACAACCTAGCTTTCCTCAATTATTTTTCGGTGTTTTAAATTTGTTTTATACCGGTAGCGTTTGCGCAAGGCAGCAGCAGTACACGAGGACGTCATGCATTTATTTATGGGTTAAAAATCGTAATAACTATCTCTAAGCAATATTATTATCACCAAATTTTGTTCATTGATAAATAGTTATATTTAACCCATTGATTGCTGATTTGCCTTATCGGGTACTGTCCGCCTTCGGCAGTTGAGTGCGAGTGTGCTGTATACAGTGTACAGGCTCGCAAAAATTCCGCGCGCGTTGAAAGCAGCCGCAGTCAAATGGTTAAATCTTAGTTTCATGGGAGAAGATAAGGAGACAAGAATTCGATTTTTAGAAACCCGTCTAAGATGAGATCTTCACACGTTGGTTTTTTATATTCATGAACCCACACCTTTTGACTTTGATAACATATTGCCCAGTAACCTTATCCTTTTGACTTGATATATCAGGCCTGACATATCAGATTGATATTCCAAAGGACTGGCATATCAGAATAATCTGTGAAATATGTGACAAACAGATATATATCCAATTTATGTTATTGGTACAAAAGTGTTGTTTCGAAAAGAAAAACCCCATTATTGATCTTCTACTGACGACTTGAGTTGTACAACACATTCGAACTTGAAGAAATTACTATAGTGGTAATCACTGTGGAAAGAGAGAGCGTTTTCATTATTCTGGTTTCAGTTTTAGCCAAAGAAAGTGAAGTTTCGCATTTCTTGGTTACTGTCTACAAAATTTCTTGTTTCAATCTGAAAAAAAAAACACACAAATAAATAAAGATAATATTAATATTATATCTTTTGTTTTAAATGTCTTTAAATAATCAAGCGTTGAAAAAAGTTTATATATATCTTTTTTTTTTCAAAAACGTAAATATATAATGTTTATTATATTTTTGTAAGGGTGGAGGTTGGGAGTTTAATTAGCAGAAATATTAGGGTGGCTTTATTTCAAATCATTTCTTCTTTAAGAAATTTAAGAGTAACTGCCTTCCCACAACTGGCTATAGACAGTAGAAGCCGAGATGTTGTGGGTGTGAGCACTCGGCTTCGTACCCTTATTTGATTGATTTTTTTATTCTTTTCTAGATTGACATCGGCGTTTGGATTTTGTCTGATAGAGGGATATCCCTAACACACTTGGGTGCTATTACCACAGACATTATCCGTTACGACAATAAGTTGACAATCAGGATCGATAACGGTATTGCGATATATAAAGCGTTTTGCTCCATTTCAATAACAACATATTTTATCCAGTGCTAAACAAGTGCTTTGATTATTCTATGTAGTTTTACACAAGTTCCTTTATTACTTTATGCAGTATTACACAAGTTCCCTTATTACTTTATGCAGTATTACACAAGTTCCTTTATTCATTTATGCAGTATTACACAAGTTCCTTTATTCATTTATGCAGTATTACACAAGTTCCTTTATTATTATTTTATGCATTATTACATAAGTTCCTTTATTACTTTATGCAGTATTACACAAGTTCCTTTATTACTTTATGCAGTATTACACAAGTTCCTTTATTACTTTATGCAGTATTACACAAGTTCCTTTATTA